CTGGCCACTTTTTGGTTGCAGCCATCATTGTTGTTTGGCGGGCCCGGGCTGGGGATTCGAACCCACCACCTTAGGTGTACGTGGCTGGCGCCTTAGCCGCTTGAGCCACAGGCGCCGAGCCCCCAGCTCCACTTTTTATTCTTTTTGTTTTTTCACTTTTTATTCTTTTAGGGGTGGCTCAGAATCTGTCTAGGAGCTAGGTGCAATTTCTATCATACTGAGGGAAACGTAACCTTTGGTCACAAGCTCCTAGTTTCTGTGCAGGCACCTAGTCACAAAAAGTCCCTAACCTCAAGATCCTGCTATTGTGTTTTTTTTTTCTGTCAGACACTGTACCCTGACCACACTTTCTTGGGTTTTTTTTTTTTTTTTTTTAGAGACAGAGTCTCACTTTATTGTCCTTGGTAGAGTGCTGTGGAGTGACAGTTCACAGCAACCTCCAACTCCTGGGCTTAGGCGATTCTCTTGCCTCAGCCTCCCAAGTAGCTGGGACTACAGGTGCCCACCACAACGTCCAGCTATTTTTTGTTGCAATTTGGCCGGGGCTAGGTTTGAACCCGCCACCCTCAGTATATGGGGCTGGAACCCTACTCACTGAGCCACAGGCGCTGCCCTGACCATACTTTCTTATCTCCTGCTGTGACGTCCCTAACATCTGCTATACAAAAAATGTCATATTAAAGTGATTATTTTACTTTTTAAAACAGTATAGGATCGGTGCCTGTGGCTCAAGTGGCTAAGGCGCCAGCCACATACACCTAAGGTGGCGTGTTTGAATCCAGCCCAGGCCTACCAAACAACAATGATGGCTGCAACCAAAAAATAGCTGGGTGTTGTGGTGGGTGCCTGTGGTCCCAGTTACTTGGGAGGCTGAGGCAGGAGACTCGCTTGAGCCCAGGAGTTGGAGGTTGCTGTGAGCTGTGATGCCATAGCACTCTACCCAGGGGTACAGCTTGAGGCTCTGTCTCAAAAAAAAGAAATAAATAATAAGACAGTATAGTTAAAAATATTGGCAAGGCTCATATTCAAAATTAAAAACTAGGCAGCACCCATAGTTCAGTGAGTAGGGCGCTGGCCACATACACTGAGGCTGGCAGGTTCGAACCCGGCCCAGGCCATCTAAAATAACAATGACAACTGCAAAAGAAAGAAAAAGAAATAAACAACTGGGCGTTGTGGCTGGCAGATGCCTGAGGTCCCAGCTACTTGGGAGGCTGAGGCAAGAGAATCACTTAAGCCTAAGAGTTGGAGGTTGCTGTGAGCCGTGATGCCACAGCACTTTACCCAGGGTGACAGCTTGAGGCTCTGACTCAAAAAAAAAAAAAAATTAAAAACTGGACTGACCATTTTCTGCCATTTTCCCTCTTTGCCAGCAAAGTAATAAGCTTCTCTTTCCTTCTCCTCAAACAACTTTGTCTCTCTTTTTCTGATGTGTCCTCATAGACAAATGTCGAACTTTCAGTAATAAATTTTGGCATCCCTGGGTGGGCCCATGGGCACCCAGGAACAGGCAGGGGGAAGGCCTGGGTCAAAGTTTTCCCAGTTAGGAGAGAGTATTTTTAGGTGAGAGAGCAAAGGATGGCCCTAGCAGCTGCTGGAGCCTATTTGCCTCTGGAGAACCTCCCTTTTTGTCTCCCCAAAGTAGATACAGCTCCCCAAAACTTGAACTGAGTTGAGGAGAAGGAAATGGATTCAGAAGGTGTCTGGATGCCAGGCCTTTGTTGGGTCCTCCATCCCCTAGTGGAACTCTGCAGCCAACCTGGGTGAGATGCCACAAAGAGCCACAGCCCAAGAGCAGACCTGATGAGAGAAAGACTTGCACACTCCTCCTGCCACTGAGCATATACAGCAAGGGCAAAGAAAGGCCTGCAGCTGCCACCATTTTGGTACCTGGAAGTGGCTGGAGAGGGTGGTGCCTGAACTAATCCTTCAATCCTATGCCTATTAGATTAAGACTCAGGGTCAGGAATGGGTCTCTCCTTACCCAACTGGGAGCTTAACTTGGCCAGAGTGTACCCCATAGCCAGGGCAAGACAATTAGCATGAATCCTTCAAAGTTGGTTAATGTGGCCTTTAAGCTAAAAACTGCATATTCTGTTAGCTGTGTCAGCTAAAGATCCTTTGAGACGGTTGAAAGGAAATGCCACCCTCAGGTTGTGTCAACAGAAAAGAAACTGTACTCTAAAATAATTTAATTAATTAATTTATTTGTTTATTTATTTTTACAGTTTTTGGCCAGGGCTGGGTTTGAACCCGCCACCTCCAGCATATGGGGCCGGCACCCCACTCCTTTGAGCCACAGGTACCACCCTCTCTAAAATAATTTAAAGAGGTTTGTTCTGAGCCAAATTTGAGTAGCATGACCTGGAGCCACACCTAAGTCTTGAGCAAGCGGATGAATGGTGGAGGGGTTACAGCTTGGTTTTATACATTTCAGGATAGGTCAGGTGCAGTGGTCACCTGTCATCCTACCCCTCTGGGAGGCCAAGGTGGGTGGATTGCCTGAGTTCAGGAGTCTGAGACGAACCTGAGCTAGAGCAAGACCTCATCTCTTAAAAAATAGCCAGCATTCGGGCAGCACCTGTGGCTCAGCGGGTAGGACGCCAGCCCCATATACTGAGGGTGGTGGCTTCAAACCCGGACCTGGCTGAACTGCAACAAAAAAATAGCCAGGCGTTGTGGTGGGCACCTGTGGTCCCAGCTACTTGGGAGGCTGAGGCAGGAGAATCTACTAAGCCGGGAGGTTGGAGGTTGCTGTGAGCTGTGTGATGCCATGGCACTCTGCTGAGGGGGATAAAGTGAAACTCTGTCTCTACAAAAAAAAAAAAAAATAGCCAGCATGGCTCGGCACCTGTAGTTCAATGGTTAGAGTGCCGGCCACATGCTCTGGGCTGGTAGGTTCAAAGCTGGCCTGGGCCTGCTAAACAATAACAAAAAAATCTAGCCAGGCACTGTGGCAGGTGCCTGTAGTTCCAGCTACTAGGGAGGCTGAGGCAAGAGAATTGCCTAAGCCCAAGAGTTGGGGGTTGCTGTGAGCTATGATGTCACCGCACTCTACTGAGGGTGACAAAGTGAGACTCTGTGTCAAAAAAATAAATAAATAAAATAAAACCTATAATGTTTGAAAATAAAAATAGCCAGGCCTTGTTGTGGGTGCCTGTAGTCCCAGCTACTTAGGAGGCTGAGGTAAGAGGATTGCTTGAGCCCAAGAGTTTTTTTTTTTTTTTTTTTGAGACGGAGCCTCAAGCTGTCCCCCTGGGTAGAGTGCCGTGGC